TATATATATAGAGAGAGAGTATATATATATATATATATATCTATAGAGAGGGTGCGCTCTAGCTCATATCGGAGAGAAAGTAATATGTAATGTAATATATAATACACAATGAGCGATGAAAGAGAGAGCAATATATATACGTAAGATGCGTAATTCGTAATTCGCGATGCGTGATACGTAGTGTCGGAACCCTTAGGTTGTTAATAGTAATTACTTTATGTCTTTTTATCTCGCTTTCCTCTCCCTCTCCTTTTCCTTCTTTCTCTCTCTCTCTTTATCTATCTATTTCTCTCTTTCACGGTACAAATATTACGGACCGGAGAAATAAAGACTAGTAACTGATTCCGATGATAAAGTCGCGCGTCGACAACCGCCGGGGAAAATTAATCTTCGTGCTCCGTCGTACGAAATCTTTATATTGGAAGGCGCCGGTTCGGAGTGGACAAACGCTCCGAGTACTTCTGTTTGATTTGAACTCGAAGTGATGCGACATTATAAATAGATTCGTTAGCAGCAGGGGGAGGGACAATCATCGTATGACATACGCGGTATGTTTGCATTTGTGTGTGTGTGTGTGTGTGTGTGTGTGTGTGTGTGTGTGTGTGCGCGCGCGTCTCATATGTGAAAATTAGGCAGTGCTGTGTGTGACCGATGAAGTAGTAACAGCCGCGCGTTTACTACGAGGTATGCGGACGCGCGTTTCAATAACGCGATGCCGCCGGCGGACAAATAAACGTTGGCTTTTAGAGGAGTCGCGAAAGTTGAAAATATGTATCGTATCACCTACACATGAGCCGCTTTAACCGATATATATATATATATATATATATATTCGTTAGTAACACTTCATTATAACATTCGTTCGAACTTTCATGATCATCTCTTTGCGCCTCGCGTATTCGTTTTTCGTCGGATTTTCGTCGTCGTCGTCGTTCTTTCGTTCGTTCAGCAACCAACGGTCCGGTTGCACCGATGTCGATCACGGCCGAGATACGAATTTTCTACCTCCGGCTACGTTTTTACACAGGAAGAAGATCGCGATCCGGAAGAGAGACATCCAACATCCAAGTCTAGCAGAGAGAGTCAACTAACAACTGTGACGCGCGCCGGTGCAACGCGGACGGTTAAAGAGACAGTTTGTACTCAACCGATCCTCACTAATGCTAGATTTACGAGTGAGTACATGTTGTACTTATATAATTATGTGCGCGCATGTGCACACGTTTCCCCCGTTTCCGTCCGGTCTGCATTACCGCGCTGAATGAACGAGAAAATACGGAAGTAATGTTCGAGCAGGATCTCGCAATACTACCACGCTAAACGTCCTCCGTGTCGCGTATATGTATGTGTGCGTATGTGTGTATGTGTGTGTATATCCTATAAGCACGTAATATTCTTAAAATATTATATGAATATTATTCGATGTTAATATAATATTCTTATAATATTCTACAAATGTTATGTAATACTTCTTAATATTATAGGAATGTTCTTGGAATATTAAAAAAAGAATAAAATAATAATATAGAAAAATATATATAAATAAAAATATATATACATACATACATATATATATATATATATATATTGCTATTGCAATACATTTTAAATAAAAAACTACAATTATATATATTATATATATACATAGAGTTAAATATTAAAAAAATATATATTACAATAATATTATACTATACTATATTAATATTATTAAAATATTACGTCTAATATTCTAAGAATATGCCCAGAATATTACGTAATATTAAATAATATTACGCGCTTATAGGGTATGTAAGTAAGTAGGAGCGGCCGAGGTTAGTTGGCTAAAGAGGTAAGTTGGCTAATTGATTATTTCTGTTGTCTTCTAACAGGTATAGAATCGAGCAAGCAGGGATTTCATAACCAACTTTGATCATATTTAAAATCGCAATTTGCTCGATTCTGTAACCTATTAGGAAACAGACGTTCTGTAACCTATTAGGAAACAGACGTAATTAATCAACCAACTTACTCCTTTAATACTACCAGCCCCGGTCTACCCTGTATGTATGTAAATATTGTGTGTGTGTAATCGTCTCGTCTAAAATATTTTATAACTGTTTGTAATATAGGTTCATAATCCTCCGTAATAACTTTTAAGTGGACCCCAATAGACGAACGTGTATCCGCGCGCCGAGAACTGTTATCGTCGTAGAAAACGCGGGTAGAACCCTTATTGTAAACGCGCTTGACCACGCGTGAATAAGCGACGAATAATAATCACGTGATTACTTTTTCTCTTGCACTTGCTTTTGCTTGCTTGCCTGCCTGCTTGCCTGAATTACAAAAAGGAGCGGAATTGATGTCGCTCGCGCTCGCGCGACATCAATTTTATCGTCATTTTTTTCTCTTCTTTTTCTTTGTGTTTTTCTTTCTCCGTTTTAGAACCCGCCGGGTCCCTTCACACCCGGTCTTCGCGTCAATAAAAGTCGTATATAAAGTGTACCTTCGAGTGAACACAAACAATTTGTAAAACGACATCGGGAACGAAGCTTTCTCCGCGCGCAGGCACAAACTTTTGTAACCGCTTAAGTATAAATATCGAGTGTAAAAAGATAATGTATAATATTTATCCCTTTTTGTTGGTTTACATATGCAAAAGACGCACGTGACATCGCGTTTCGAGATTAATTAGTATATAATTAACTGTAATCGCTAAACGATTTCTTTCCCGATTTCTTACTAAATTCTTTCTGGAAGAAGTAACATCGAAGTTTTTTTTTTATTTTCATTTCTCTTGCTAATCGGTGCGAGTGCTGGAAAAATCTTATCGTTAAATTAGAAACGTATCTCGACATCGACGTTTATTTCCTCGTTTTTTCACTAAGGTCGCAAACTATTTTCTTCCTTTTTTCTATCCCTTTTTTACGTGTCGCCGCCACGCCGTCTCGGTTCTCCCCCGCCTTCTCTCTCTCTATCTATCTCACTCTGACTTTTCGATCCTGCTAAGTCGAATTCTATATAAACGTTATCTACGAGATCTTCTTACTCTGTTGAGATTACAGGAGATAAAGCGACGCGCGTGGTGAGATCGATCGCGTAGGATTACTTCGCGACAACTTGCCACCCATAGAAGATGCGCGCGGCGTAATCCTCTCTTTCCTTCTGTCTTTCTCTTTCTCTACCTGCGAGTAAAACAAATATGCTCGTAGTATAAATCACTGGAGATCGCGCGTTCTCTACGGGAAGGTTTACAACGGCGTTCTAGAAACGTCGCGACAACAGAACGTCGTTAGATATATCGAATTCTCGGTATACCAGGTAGAAAAGTGCACTTTTCTCGGCGTGTACATTCTCGTAACGTAAATAGTCTGTATCTTATATGTATACATAGATACAATGTGCAAGGTAACCCCCGTTAAACCGGGCCAAAACCGCGCGGTTTGCATCTGCGATAAAAGAATCTCAAAAGTCGAATCGCGCAAATTTTCCCTTCGCGAGGTCTACGTCTGTCCCCCTTCTGTAGTGCACCTCGACAAATCAAATCTCCGTCATTTTCACGAGAGGAAAAACGTGTTTACGCAGTCTATCTCTTTACGACGATAGAAAATCACTGTGTGTGTGTACCCTCATATCTATACGCACTGGCATATGTACAGGATATACAGAGGACGTCCCGGACGGGTCGCGTTTCCACACCCCGTCGACATCCCCGAAGACTGAGAATCGCTCGCTCGTCCGGTCGTGTCGTTAACGGTTTAATCGATGAGCCTGTCGTCGTTATTACATTATTCAGTGTTCATTGTTCAACGTAGCCCTAAAAAAGTGCCCGCCTAATTAATATCGATGTCTCGACCGAGACTGTCGTTGTCTCGCCGTGACGTCGCAACGGAGAAAGAGGAAACGCGACTCTCCGGAGGGGACTCCGCGTACATCGAAGATGTTAAGAAAGAATGGCGATGTGTCTCCTACTTCCCCCCGAGAGAAATTCCATCACCTCAGCTCCTAAATGCTCTCGCTCGACTCTTCTTCCGCTCGGGACTCGAATCCGCCGCGGAATCGAAAATCATCCCTTCGTTTTGCCCCCGCCCCCCCCTCCCCCCTCTCGATTTTCCACGACGGACGAAGCACCAAGATCGCGCGCTACACCGCTGTTTCTTTCCTTCTCCCCGCCCCCCTCGTCGAATCTTAGGCCTCCTCGGAGTGCGAGCCCTGAGAGCTGCGTTTCTTCCGGTGGTTGTTGTGGTGCTGATGGTTGTGGTGTTGATGATGGTGCGTCATCAGCGCGTCGGTCTCCGGTTGATTCTGATGGCCGACCAGGAGATCGAGGGTGCCCTTGTGCACGGCCGCCTGCGCCTCGCCGATCGGCGGCGGGATGGGGGTCGCGACCGGCGACTCCACCGGGAACGGTACGCAGTGTATTACGTAACATCTCACGCCGGCCAGGATGAAGCCTGAAAAAGCGACACGCAACCGTAGAATCAGACCGACGACGCATCGGCGGCGATTGATTCGGGGAACGGGGGGGTCGCACATATCCGGGGCCCGATTCTCCAATTCACTTTTAACTATATGTGCAGTTCCAGGTCATGTTATTAGACGCACTTTGATTCTTGAATTTGTGACTCTTCAAGTCACAAATAAACAAAAATAAAACTAAATTTCAATTGACACACATTCGAAACTCACGTCTATTCTCATTATTATCAACGATGCAGCTAGCGCGGGTTCATAATTGTTTAACAGCCAAGTCAAATGACGTCATAAAAAATACTTTTTATAGAATAACGGTTCCTTAACATAATTCGATCGATAGACGAGCCGTATTACCAAGCTGGTCCTCGGGAGTCAACGAAATGTAAAAAATTAAGGCGCGTCCAAAAATATAGCCAGGGACTGTATATGTGCACAATACAAAATTTTGTTTTAAATTTAACACATTTCACACGTCCCAAACGGATCTACGTAAATTTTTGTGTCAATTTAATATAAGAGTCCGTATTTTGAATTCACTTTCATCGACAAAGCGCTTCTAAAAATGGCACAGAAATCACCTGATAGGCTGAGAAGCCACATTTAAGGCACTTTTATCGATAAGTGAGAGTGTTTAGAATACGGATCAAAGTGAATATGTTGGAAAGTAACATAAATATTACGTCAAAAGTTAAGACAGATTTAATATCTAGATGTTAATCGGCGCCAAAGTATAAAATGTGTTGTTTTAACACTTCTACCGATTCAATATCGATTCAACACAAAATATTGAGATAACATAAACACGATATGTTTAATTAACGCACACAGGTACGCTAGAAATGTAAGAAAAAAATTGTAACAAGGACCGAACTCTCTCTCTCTCTCTTTTTCTCTCAACACAAGTGCAAATATCTTTTACTCTTTAGACCGGAATTTATTTCAAGCTACAAACGCTTTGGAACATGTAAAAAAGGAACACGACTGGTCTACATACCAGCGTTACAGAGCGTTTGCAGCGCGAAATGAACTCTAGCCTACACACATACGCACAGTTACGAGTGAGTTGGAGAATCGAGCCCCCGGCGCTTTTTTCGTGCTCGAGTGCGCGCTCTCGCTCGTTGCCCGGATCAATCGCAGCGGGGGCCGCGCGATTTCTCTTTTTAACGCGCGGCTTGCGGCTGGAAGCAGCCTCTCTCTCTCTCTCTCTCTCGCCCTAAGAATGCTCACCCATTATAAGTAGGGCAGCGCCCGCCACGAGTAACGCCAACCTGTGGTTGGTGGTCGTTGCTCCCGGTGCAAGTTGGACGAGACCGACTACAAGTACCACCGCGCCCAACAACAGGCACACCACCACCGCGTGTAGCCCGGATATCTGGTGGCAACGATCTCTGTCAGAGACGACGACTACGCTCGCTCGTAGTAGATAGAGACGTTTATTTATTGTTTCTTTCTTGTTGCTTGTGTAAAAATTCTCTCGGCTCATACGAACGTTCGAAGTTACTCGGAAAAGTAGGTAGATGTATAAATATAAATGTAAAAAGTAAGCGGGGGAGGAGGGGGTGGTGACGAGAAAATTTGAAATAACATATCTTGAAAGAGAATAGCCACGTTCGTTTCCTGGAGTTTCGACTGCAGAAGACTCAAATATTGCGAACGTTTTCAAACGACCTCTGTTAAGGATACATTACGCCCATATATAACTCGGAATAATGAACAAAATTATAAATTGATCTACATTATATTGAAAAGTGACACCGAAAATTTGACAGTAATTCAGAGCCTATATTTCATATTTAATAAAGGAGATTGTTGAAACGAGTTTGATGAAAATTCGATGGAACTTGCACTGCGTATATACATCGGAATATTATTGAACTCTTTGCCCGTTTGCAATTAGAAAAGGTGTCAGGTGCACCCCCTTAAACGTTAACTTCGCGATCGACAATAACAAGCGTTACCTTGCCGCACAAGTACAGCTCGGGTCTGGGCTCCAGATTGTTGTGACTGTGCGGGCTGGGGGTAGGTGGCGAGCCCTGCAGGGGTGGTAACCATTGCCCGCTCAGGTAGAGCTGACTCGGCCGCTTCAGCCTTTTCTCCTGCCTCCTGCGCTCATGGCGGACGGCCACCGCTGGCATAGCACCGATCATTCTGTTTGAGACAGAAATAGCAAGCACGCTATTAGACATCTGAGATTACTCGCCGGCATTCCACCGGTCGTATTGCCCTGTAAATTCCGTAAACTTCACTCGTCACCTCGGCTACATCAGAATTGGAATTTATGGACGCCGGTTTATCGGGCATTTGCAAATCAAATTACATCGACTCGTACGGATCTTACGAAAGGGAAAAGGGAAGGAAACGATGAAGTACATTTCGTAATTCGTTTCGATAAATCGCACGTGTTGCTCAAAATCGCTTTCTTTCTCTCTCTCTCTCTCTCTCTCTCTAGCGTGAAGCAGTGAAAATGGGGAGAGTCTCACTTTGCGGCTTGGCAAAAATTCGCAACGCGGGAATCGCCGACGCTCGTCGACGGAAGCACGTGAGTCGCGTGCCGTCAGATCAAATGTTTTTTGGCGTCGTTCAACGGTGCGGACTGACGCTGGTACTTTTGCATCGAGCGCGCTATGAACTTTAGTGACCTCGCTTGACCTCGGCCGGTCGATACGTCATCGCATCCGCCCTCTGGCCCGGAGTCGATGCAGCGAAGTTCCAGCAGGCCGAGGATAGGTAGAAAAAGAGGGAATATACAGCGACGGTCGTATCTTATATTCCGTTATTGACATCCGCGCGCGCGCGCGTCTCATTAAAAGTATCTCTCGGCTTCTTGTCTGGCCAGCCGGTGAAATTAATCCGGCTGGAGATCGCTCTCTCGACTCTTTCTCTCCGGATTTGGTTGCGACAAGGCGCATCGAAACGATTCAAATAGTGCTTGACCTATATAAGGTCGTAACAAAGGCAAAAAGGAAACTCTATAAGTGCGTAATATTCCTAGAATATTATTAAACATTAAAATAATTCTTATAATATTCGAAGAATAATGTGTAATATTTTTAATGTTATGAGAATGTTCTTAGAATATTGAGAACAAAATGAAATAACAATAATATAGAAGAACGTATAAAAAAATATATAGGGAATAAGAGGGAAAATATAAGAAAAGAGAGATTTATATTAAACGTTTCAGGCGATATTTTCCGTGCGGTGGTCAGCGGAACGGAATAGTTGGAGCTCATCGAACATGGAGAGATAACTCGTTCGTTAAGAATGGAGCGTTTCATAAATATTTATTCTCGAAAAATCGTGCGTCAAGTGTATATATAAGTGGTACAATAGAGAAATCGCAATAAGAAAGCTTTCAAACTTCGTTTAAAATAACTACACGATAGTAGTAGTAGTATTAATAGTAGTAACGGTAGTAATAATGGTAATCGCAATACAGCAGCACGTAATAATTGCGCGTCGGCGATGGTAATTACGATATAATGACTCCTTCATCGTGTGTGTGTGTGTGTGTGTAACGGTATTTCACGATAATAATAATAATAACAATAATAACAATAATAATAATGATAATAATTGCTGGCCGCCCCACGTTCGCGGGGTGATAGTTTTCGGGGCGGGTTGAAGATAACGTCAATTACAGTAACGTGATACGGCAAATGACGGCGGTGATACCGTATAGTCGAGATCTACCCCGCCCGTACTCTCCGTCCCTCGTAAATCTGCCAACGGGTAACGTAAACGTGCCGTCATGAGAGCGTGTCGTAAATTTTATGGTAAATAGAGGTGAATATTCTTTAAATTGTCCCGACGGAGTTGCACCGCGACTACGCTCGTCGTTGTCGCGGCACGACGAGGATGAACGAAACGTTGGTTGCTCGTTTGCGCTCTATTAATTTAATCTTAATTACAATCTTGATAACTTCGGCAGGAATTTAGACGAGATTTTGCAGTGTATAAGGAAATCCATGAAATCCCTGTTCCCTTCTCTCTCTCTCTCTCTCTCTCTCTCTTTTTCTACGTGTGTGTGTGTGTGTGTGTGTGAAATGTGAGCACATTAGTTTCTACGTATTCTGCGTATCTCGTGCGTTACTTTCATCAATGACAACTCCATCGTCCCTCGTTACTGTTCTCACGTAATGAGGGATGACGGTTCCTCTCGCTGTCGTAGCTATGGCCAATAGGCAGGATTAATCATAGCAATGCGACACGTATACGCATATGTATATACCTATATACACACACGTGCATATATATATGAAGTGGAGATTCCTCTCGCTGTCGAAGCTCAATAACGCAACGTCAGTTCAATTCAATTCGGATCGTTATCGTCGAATCATGCACGCTCGATGTCCATTGCTCTCTCTGTCCTCCCTCCCTCTTTCTCTCTCTCTCTCTCTCTCTCTCGCGATGTGCAAGGAAACGTATATCTATTTACATTGTTGTGTAAACGCTGCTGTGGTTGTAGTTAATAATAACGATACAAGCTAATTGTGTACGCCGCGAACAAGCGATCTGACAATTTCCGCGAAAAATGAGACAGCGCGAGAAAACGAACGAGAGATATAATGAAAAATAATTCTCTTTCTATAGGCGACATATCTCCTCTCGTGCGCTTGCCCCTCCTTCTCCCTCCGCCGCGTACCGAACTTTCAAAGACGAAGATCCCTCGTTCTTTTATTTTATATAATTGAGTGTAATCGACTCGTGCAATCTACTTAAATCTTGAGAGATACTCGCGACTGATAAGAGGACGTTTGCACGCGCGACGCTACGTAGAATAATTGTACCACTTATTTGAGGACGTCCCGCGTATCCGGGGGCGCGAATGACACCTTCCGCTGTAACCACAGACACGTCACTCGGAAAAAGGAATTGTGCTTTCGTAAATCTATATAATAGTAAACAACAAAATTACGGTCGAGATAATATATAGAGTAGTTTCTAGCTCGAGAAGGTGTGTACGCTCTTACGATTAATGCGAGAAAACTTACACGCTATATGTATGTATGTATGTATATATGCATAAGTAAGATTAGTTCGCGATATTTTTCAGCCTTTCAGTCGAGGAAAGTCGAACAGAAGAATGACACGGGAATGTGAGGAAGAAACTGAAAATGCGTCGTCCCAAGAACGAACGAAGAGAGCACTCTCTCTCTCTCTCTCTTTCTCTCGTGAGACCACAGAAACATTCGCGAGAACAACCCTATACGCGCGAAATATTTTTTTAATATTACAAGAATGTTCTGTTGATGTTATATGTCCACTTTACATAATATTCTTGACATATTATAAAAATGTCCTTAGAATATTAAAAAAGGAATAAAATAATAATAATATAGAAAAAAATATATAAATATTATATGTGACTTTTTTAGTATGAAACGTATTTTCACACAAAATTCTTTCGACTTTATTTATATAATAAAACAATTGGTATTGCAATACACATTTAAAATAAAAAAATACAATTATATATATCATATATATACATAGCGTTTAAAAAATATATAATATTAAAATAACATTAGGTAATATTACTTTTAAATATTATTAAGAATGGACATGTAATCATCTATTAATATTCCAGAAATATTACTTAATATTAAATAATATTGCGCGTTTATAGGGCGAGTACTATCACTTGAGATCCTCGGTTTAAACGTGCGCGTTCCGACGTGGCTCGCGCGAGGTGGTATACAAAAGAAGGTGGTAAAGGAAGTGCACATAGAAAGACGATGAAAATTCGACGCGTCAGTGTCCGGCAAATGACGAAAGATACGAAACGCGCAACAACAAAAGGCACTTTTGCGTTCAATCCAGAGCCAGTCGTGAGGGACCCGCCGACGGATGGGACGCGAAGGTTCGCGCGCGAGCAGCTTTCGCGTCGTCTCTCTCTCTCTCTCTCTCTCTTTCTCAGGCTTCCCACTTCCCGTAATTGCACGTCACTTAATGTCACTTAAAGTAAACAGCCCGCCCTGTTCCGCGGTGCGACGTCTTTCACGTCTCGTCGAAGAGAGGGAACGGGGGACCGATCTTAATCTAATCTTGGACTCAACCCTAATGGAAGGGCGCAACAAACTTCCGCGTTCCACTCGCCGGATTCGAGATTATCCCTTTCGGAACGATTCGTCGAGTTTCGACGGTTCGCTCGCACGGGGAGAGGAAGAAAGAGGACGCGTTATGGAAAAATTTCTCAGGGGTTGAACACTCGTTACGGTGTGTCACGGTATTCGTCGAGAGATCGACGGTGATCCACCGCGATTCCATGCGCGCGGGCCGTCACGATTTCGCGATTCCCGACCGGCTCTGATTTGATCGCGATGAATTTCGTCCTTTCCGCTCGCGCCTGACTCTTTTCGCCTCTCTCTCTCTCCCTCCTTCTCTCTCTCTCTCTCTCTCTCTCTCTCTCTCTCTCTCTTTCTGTCGCTCTTCCGCTCGCGCACATTCGCTCTCTCGAATTTTGCAAAAGGCATAATCAATGGTAATCACGTCACAATCAAATGGCGGGGACACACTCGGTCGAAGATCAGGCAGCGGCCCCGCGGTGGTTGAGATGAAAAAAAAAAACAGCATGTATAATGTAATATATATACAGAGTATACGCGTGCTGCCTTTCGTCGAAAGAACAATTCTCGAATGCGATTTATTTAGTGTATACGACGATTAATTTTTTTCTTTTCATTAGGATCACAGAATAGTAGCGCCCGAGCATAGCGATATTTCATTGAAAGGATATCCGGAAACGAACGGCACGAGCCGCGAGTTCTTCCTCCCGCGAAGTTAATTAACGTCGTCGTCTAGTGTGAACCGGAATCGGCATGAGTCGATTCGTTCTCGAATATCTCGCCGACTAAAGCTATATATATATGTATATATATATATATATATATATANTATATATATATATATATATATATATAGTGTGTATGTAAATAAATGCTTAATATATTATAAAAAGGAATATAGCATATTAAAATTATCGACTAGCTTAACAATACTGCGCCAACAGTCATTGGACGAATAGCCGAAATTCTTCCATAATGTATCGTCTGTGTGTGTGCATGTGTGTGTTAATGTGTGTACGTGTGAAATTCGCCATAGATATTTATTATATTTTCAAAGTTAAAACATTAGCGCTAGAATAT